CTCCTCCCCCTCCTCTCCGCCCTCCCCCCCTCCCCCTTCTCCCTTGTTCTCTTAACTCTCTGTTTCCAGCCTTCTCTGGCCAGGTTCCCTCAAGCTCCTCCCCTCCCACTCAGCTCCCTTCCTCTCTTATCCCCACCCCTCTCCCAATTCTCAGTAAGCTCTGCCCCCTTCGGGACCCTGCTCCTGGTGTCCCTTGCCCCCTCTGTGCTCCAAGCTGCTGTGTCCTGGGGGCCTTGTCCCCCTCACAGTTGGGGGGGCAGGCTCTGCCCCCTGCCCGTCCTTGTGCTGCTGCTTCGGGGAACCCTTGGTGGGTATGGGGAGCTGGGTTGGGCACACCTGGTCCACCTCTGACCCTGTTGCCCTCTCTCCCCAGAAGGTGGAAGAGGTGGGTGCCTGGGCCCTGGGTGGGGGGAGGGCCAGCCCTCCCCCATCTCTCCCAGCCCCTCCCCCTCCCCATGGCCACCTCCTCCCCTTCACCCCCTGTGAGGGGAGGGGTGGGTAGGTACGTCACCCTCCCGATTGAGCTAAGTATTGGAAATCCTTTCTCCATGTCCCTTTCCCTGACCCCAACCTCAGGGAAGGGTGGGGGGCTGGTCCTGTGGGCCATAGTGGGTTTCAATCAGCACACCCAATTTCAGTACCCTTGGGGCCAGTCCCAACCCCAGGTACCTCCCCAAGTCTCATCACTTCTGACCCTCTCTTCTCTCTTCTGTTGCTTGTTTCATCCCTGACCCGGTCTCCCCTGTCCCTGTCCTGGTCTGTCCTGTCCCTGCCTGGTCTCCCCTGTTGGCTGTCCCTGCCCTGCCCTGGTCTGTCCTGTCTCTGCCCTGGTCTGTCACTGCCCTGCCCTGGTCTGTCCCTGCCCTGCCCTGGTCTGTCCTGTCCCTTCCCTGGTCTGTTCTGTCCCTGTCCTGTCTCTGTCCTGGTCTCTCCGTCCCTCCCCGCCCCCACCTGGTCTCCCCTGTCGGCTGTCCCTGCCCTGGTCTGTCCTGTCCTGTCTCTGTCCTGTCTCTGTCCTGGTCTCCCCTGTTGGCTGTCCCTGTCCTGGTCTGTCCTGTCCCTGTCGGCTGTCCCTGTCCTGGTCTTTCCTTGTCTCTGTCCCGGCCTCTGCCTGACTGTCCTTGGCCTTGGGGTCCAGGCTATCAGGGCGTCTGGGGCGCTCAGAGAGCCTGCGGGTGAGTGACCGCCGCCGGCCTTCCCGGGGTAGCCTCGGGGCTAAGGGCCGGGGTGGGGGCCGTTCCCGGAGCGACGTGGACATGGACCCGAGCTCCGCCACGGCCGTGCTTGGCCCTACCCGACGAGCCACGTACGTCACTTCCCCCTCAGAAGCTGGGGAAGCCTAGAGAGTTGGGAGGTGGTGGGTTGATGCTAGACTCTCAAAAGATAGACAGCCAGTGTCTGAGGTTGCTGGGGCCAGCTGTGGACAGCACAGGCCATTGAGGAGTTGGGAGGTGGGACACTCCTATCTAGAGATCTGGGGATTGGTCTGTATCATGGCCACCCAGAGGCGTCAAATGTCAAGGCCACAGAGGGGTTGTAACTAAAGGAGAACAAGAGGCTCCCCTGGGCTACTCCAGGATTCGGCCTAACAATGCTTCTGTCCACAGCCCCGAGCCCGGAGATGATGAGCCAGGACGATCAGGCCTGGAACTGGAACCGGAAGAACCACCTGGGTGGAGGGAACTGGTGCCCCCAGACACCCTGCTCAGCCTGCCCAAGAGCCAGGTGAAGCGACAAGAGGTCATCAGCGGTGAGTGCTCCCCGGAGTCCTCACTGCAGCCAGGGGTGCTAGCCAGTGCTCCCCGGTGTCCTCACTGCAGCCAGGGGTGCTAGCTAGTGCTCCCCGGCGTCCTCCCTGCAGCCAGAGATGAAGTGACAGTGCTCCCCCGTAGTCCTCACTGCAGCCAGGGGTGCTAGCCAGTGCTCCCCGACGTCCTCACTGCAGCCAGGGGTGATAGCCAGTGCTCCCCGGCGTCCTCACTGCAGCCAGGGGTGATAGCCAGTACTCCCCCAAGTCCTCACTGCAGCCAGGGGTGCTAGCCAGTGCTCCCCCGAGTCCTCACTGCAGCCAGGGATGCTAGCCAGTACTCCCCCGGAGTCCTCACTGCAGCCAGGGATGAAGCAACAGTGCTCCCCTGGAGTCCTCACTGCAGCCAGGGATGCTAGCCAGTGCTGGCTGAGGCAGAGTCCAAGAGCGCGTGAGAGCTGCTGCTTCCCAACAGAGGCAGCAGAGGCGTGGGCTGTGGAACAGATTCAGTGTAAGTAAGCCAAGTGCCACTGCCGGCCATGCTTCAAGTACTAGCAGCGCTGAGCTTCCAGAGAAGTGTGGCTGCTTAGGCTGAGGTCAGGAGCCAGGTCCAGCAAAGCCTGTCATCCCAGCCACATGCCCTGGGGAATCAGGCGGCCAAAGGGAAAGAGGATCAGACGTTCAAGGCTAGGGCCCAGGGGGTGGCTTACTGAGTAAAAGGGGCCTGCTGCAGAGCCTGACAGCTGTCAGGACCCACATGCTGGGAGAGAGCCACCCCCACAAGATGTTCTCTGACCGCCACATGGGTGCCATGGGTGTGCATGCGTGCGTGCGCATGCGTGCGTGTGTGTGTGTATGTGCGATTTTTTTTTTAAGGAGATTCACATTATCCTCAGCCTTTGGAGTCAGTAGCAGGTGAATCTCTGTGAGTTCCAGTCTGAACTGGACTACATACCAAGTCTCAGGACTATATCAAGAGGCTCTGTCTCTAAACACCAACATTGCAGTAGCAATGGAACAGTTTTATGCTTGGGGGTCACCACAGCACGAGGAGCTGTGTTAAGGGGTCGCCGTGACAGGAAGGCTGAGACGCACTGCTCTAGAGCCTGTTCCCTCCCTAGTGATGCTTCCTGTTTTGGGCCCGCAGAGCTGCTGGTGACAGAGGCAGCGCATGTGCGAATGCTACGGGTACTCCATGACCTCTTCTTCCAGCCCATGGCGGATGGTGGCTTCTTCCCTCTGGAGGAGCTGCAGAACATCTTCCCCAGCCTGGATGAGCTCATTGAGGTCCACTGTGAGTGCCAGCCACCACTCGTCTCCTCCACATCCCACCACCAGCCCCCTCCCACCAGGCCTCATATACCCAGAACCCACCCATCCTTTGAGTACCTGCCCCAGGCAGCCTGGCCTACTCCTGGGGACCACACGTTCCCGTCCCCTGCAGCATACACCCCAGAGGTACAGACACACTAGACAAGCACATGAAGTGTGTATGACAGCCCACCAGCCCCAAGGATCAAACACACAGCTGCAGCCTGAGCCAGCAGCAGCCCAAACCAGGCATCTCAGTCTCTTGGGCTCCAGTAAAGCACCTCCTTTCCTGCGCCCCACAGCCCTGTTCCTCGATTGCTTGATGAAGAGGAGACAAGAGAGTGGCTACCTCATTGAGGAGATTGGCGATGTGCTACTGGCCCGGGTGAGGTGGCCCCACATGGCCCTGGACACTGACTCTCCATCCTGCATACCCCAGGCCTATCCTACCTTAGGCTTCCATTTCTGAATGTTTGGACAACCCCACCTAAGGCCTCCCCTTCCTGAATCTTCCTGCAGTTCGATGGTGCTGAGGGCTCATGGTTCCAGAAGATCTCCTCCCGCTTCTGCAGCCGCCAGTCATTTGCTCTAGAGCAGCTCAAAGCCAAACAACGCAAGGAGCCTCGATTCTGTGCCTTTGTGCAGGTGAGGTGGGACACGAGCCCCGGTGTGAGGAGGACACAGTGTGGTGTCCTGGTGTGAGGGATGAGGGCTCAAACTGAACTCTGGGTCTTAGAAGAGAAGGGCTATGGGCATGACCTTGGGCTACCCCTGTGCTGCCTGCTTGCTCCTCAGGAAGCTGAGAGCCGCCCACGATGCCGGCGTCTACAGTTAAAGGACATGATCCCCACTGAGATGCAGCGACTGACCAAGTACCCACTGCTGCTGCAGAGCATTGGACAGAACACAGGTACCCTCCCTCTGGCCTTCCCCGACCATGGCTGCTGAGTGAGGACATGCCAGCCTGGGGATTCACACCACGCCCTTTGCCTGCAGAAGAGCCTGCAGAACGGGAGAAAGTGGAGCTTGCAGCCGAGTGCTGCCGTGAGATTCTGCACCACGTCAATCAAGCCGTCCGTGACATGGAGGACCTGCTGGTGAGCCGGGGCATGGCTCTACCTGGGACAGGCCATGGTGGGGAAAGGACATGCACCTGGCTCAGAGGTCAGTGTCCAGGAGTCAGCTGGCCTTTGGTGTCTTCCTCTCAGGACTTCTGGAGGTCAGACATGGACCTCAGCTTGTCCCCCAGAAGTTGGCCTTGTTTTACTGCTTACCCATCCACCTTGGAGTCACTGAGGGTCAGCCCCTGTGCCTGGTTTAGCTCCCTATAACCCTCCTGTCTCTGTCCTAGCGGCTCAAGGATTACCAGCGGCGGCTGGACCTGACTCACCTGCGGCAGAGCAGCGACCCCATGCTGAGCGAGTTCAAGGTGAACCCTGTCGTCTTCCTTCAACTCTCCTTGGCCCTGCTGCCCAGGGTGTTCTTATGTACAGTGCAGCCCAGCATGCGTCCAGGGAGCCTCCATCCCCACCTCCTTTCCAGAGGGTGTCCATGGTGACCCCTGACCTCAGTCCCTGGTCCTCGGCTGTTCAGCTTGCTGCCCTCCCCTCCCTTCATCACCTTAGCTGACCGTGGCTCCTTCCTGCCTCAGAACCTGGACATCACTAAGAGGAAGTTGGTCCATGAAGGCCCCCTCACGTGGCGAGTAACCAAAGACAAAGCTGTGGGTGAGTGCACGCACAGGTGTGGGGAACAGGGTAGAAGTCAGGCGTGACTCTGCTGCCCCCCTGCAGAGGTGCACGTGCTCCTGCTGGACGACCTGCTGCTGTTGCTCCAGCGCCAGGACGAGAGGCTGCTCCTCAAGTGCCACAGCCGGACGCTGACACCTACGCCTGACGGCAAGACCATGCTGCGGCCCGTCCTCCGGCTCACCTCTGCCATGACCCGAGAGGTGGCCACCGGTGAGCTGCGGCAGGTCATCTGAGCACAGTTGCTCTGTGACAGGGGGAGTGGAAGTCTCTAAGAGCCACAGAGCCCACTCTGGGAAGGGACAGAGACTGAGAAGGGTCTGAGTGAGGCAGAAGTGGGCGGGACTAAGTAAGAATGGCAGTGACTGTCATCGCAGTACCCAGGAGGCTGAGGCCAGAGGATATTGAGTGTCAGGTCAGCTTGGACTACAAAGGACCACCCTGTCTCAAGAAACTAAAAATAGCCATGCTTGGTGGTGCACACCTTTAATCCCAGCACTCAAGAGGCAGAGGCAGGCAGATTTCTGAGTTTGAGGCCAACCTGATCTACAGAGTGAGTTCTGGGACAGCCAGGGCTACACAGAGAAACCCTGTCTGGAAAAACAGCAAAATGCAAAACTAAAAATAAATAAAAATATAGGGAATTGCGTACATTTACAGAGAAGCATAGTCTGCCCCAGCGGGTTTGTTGTTGTTGTTGTTGTTTGTTGTTTGTTTTCCCACAATGCTGGCCTCCCTTTTAGGAATTGTAGGTACTTGGAGCATAAGCCCAGGACAGAGAGTTTTGCAAGCATTGCTGAGAGGTTGTGCTAGGGCCACTGATGGTGGAGGGGTTCTTCAGGTGAAGGCAGCCTAGGCTCTGTGGCCCGATGTGATGAGGGCTGTGGAGGAGGACGGCAGTATTAGCAGGACAGTGAGTGTGAACTGCTTCACATGAGGGGAGAACAGCAGACAGCACCCAGAAGGGGGACACACTGGGAACTCAAGCTCCAAGCCACATCTCTCCCCTCCCTGTGCAGATCACAAAGCTTTCTACGTCATTTTTACCTGGGACCAGGAGGCCCAGATATATGAGCTGGTGGCACAGACATCGTCGGAACGCAAGAAGTGAGAGTCCCCAAGGATGGTGTGACGGAGTGTGTCCTGAACAGGGTGGGGTTTAGGTGTGCTGACCACCTCTGGTCTTGTCCTGTCTCCCCAGCTGGTGTGCCCTCATCACTGAGACTGCCGGATCCCTCAAGGTCCCTGCCCCTGCCTCCCGCCCCAAACCCCGGCCCAGCCCAAGCAGGTAAGGGGTCAAGGAGGGAGCTGGAGAAGGGAGCTTGGAGATTGTGTCCCTGCGCATCTACAGAACTTAAGCCCCAGCACATGTACAAATGCGTGTGCTGAGTCCAGCACAGCCTGCCTCTGGCTATCTGTATCCCAGCCTGCCAGTCTCTGGACCAGGGATATGGGGTCACTTGTCGCTTCTCTCCCCAGCACCCGAGAGCCCCTGCTCAGCAGCTCTGAGAACGGCACTGGAGGCACAGAGATCGCCCCAGCTGATGGTAAGTCTCGAGGTCACTGGCTAGGGGAGGGCACGAGAAACCAGACAGGATCTGAGCATCCTCTTGGTCTGCCTGCCCAGCCCGGACAGAGCGGATCCTCAGCGACCTCCTGCCCTTCTGCAGACCAGGCCCAGAGGGCCAGCTTGCTGCCACAGCCCTTAAGAAAGGTAGGCCAGCCCTGCACCCTCTGGGTCCGGTATCTACTCAAATGGTGCCTCTATTTGAACTAGAGAAAGGCTCCATCTTTCAGATTTCTATATGTCCACGAGTCAAGAAGCCCTCCCAAATCCCTTCTTTAGCTACTCTCCTACCCTGGATGCTAAGTTCAGCTTCTCCAGCCTCAGGCCCTGCCCCATCCTAACCCTTTTGACTGATATCCACCTCGTCCCTCAGCTGTCGGCGGGCCCTCGGCCCCCTGCCCCTGGTCACCCTGTTCCTCTTGCCTTGCCCAGTACTGTCCCTGAAACAGATCCTGTTAAGCACTGAGGAAGAGAGTGGAGCGGGGGCTCCCCGAGATGGGGATGGGGTACCTGGTGGCGGTGGTGCCCCGGGCCGCGAGCACACCCGGGAGATTGAGGAAAACCTGCTTAGCCTAGAAGCGGCCATCAGACAGCTGGAGGTATGCTTGAGGGCTGGGGACTTGGGCAGGTTGTGGAGGGAAAGGTATCCCTCATCTGTGATCTCCTCCAGGAGTTAGAAGAGGAATTTTGTCGCCTGAGACCCCTCCTGTCTCAGCTTGGGGGGACTCTGTCCCCCAACCTGGCTGTGCCTGAGCACTCTCCTCAGACAGGTGAATGGGGAACTGGGTCAGGGTGCTGTTCTAAGGGATGGAAGGGGTACCCTTGTCCCACCGTTTTCCCTCCCTCTCTCCGTGTTTATTACCCTCAGGCCTTTCATGAAGAGAAGAGAAGGGGAGAGGATGCGAGGGGCCCCCACCCCCACAGCTGCCACAGCATCTCATACCCCAGAGGCCTTGAGCAGAGGGAGATTGGCTGAACTTGATAGTGGACCTGCTCCGGCTCCTGCCTCCCACCCTGGCCTCTGCCTTTCTCCCGCCTGCCTTCTGCTTGGGCGACTCAGGGATTCACTCCCAGAGTACCCCCATAATCCCCACTTTTCAGGCCATCTCAGTATTGCCTATGGGGGGGGTCACCCCTCCATCCTCTACCCCAAGTGCCTTTGCTCTGTTTTTATATTCTGAATTGGAGGTTTATTTTTAATATATATTATCTAAGGAGAGATCTCTGTGTGTGAGGGCGTCGGGCAGTGGGCCCCATGTCTGGGCCTGGCCTTGACTGACTGGGTCTGACCTATGTCACCTCCATGACTCTTGCCTCCTTTCAAGCTCTCCATCCATCCATCTGTCCATCCGTCCATCTGTCCATCCCTCCCTCCCTCCATCTCTCTGTCCCTCCATCCATCCATCCATCTGTCCATCCCTTCCTCCCTCCCTCCATCCTTCCCTCCATCTGCTGTCTTACATTTTTATTTAGTGTATTATGGGTGGGGCACACATGTGTGCCGCATCAGAGGACAACTTGTGGGAGTCGGTTCACCTTCTGCCATCTGGGTCCCAGAGCTCAAACTCAGGTCATCAGGCTCGATGACAAATACCTTTACCGTTCACCTGTACCCAGGACTCCACACACATGCACGCTGCATGTGAGGTGTGCCCGTGGTCATCCAGAATGAGGCACCCACATTGCACACTCTGTTCTTTTATTTTTGTAGTAAACTCTGGAAGTGGCTGTGGGATTTCCAAGGGAGCCAGTGGGGAGAGGCCCCTCCTGGGTGGGGCTGGGGCGGGGTTATTGCTCTGAGCTCCCTGTCCCCAGGGGGACCTGTGTGGGAGGATTTCAAGAGAGGGGGCTGGCACTGGATTGGGGACACTGCCACACGAACACGCAGGTCACAGCACATAGGAGGTCAGGGGAGGCTGGACGCCGTATTGCACTTTGAGAGTGGGGCCGGGCGGTTACCCCTCAAATCTGAACCTGGGAAGAGACTAGAGGCCAGCCTGTTCCTCTCCACTGTGTGGAGAAGGCGTGACCTCCGCTCGGGGCTTGGAAGTGGCCAGGAGGGTGCCAAGGGCTGGTCCTGGGCCTTGAACTGGTGTTAAGGGCAGACCAAGTAGAAGAAGCTTCATGGGTGACTGCCCTGGTCACCAGCAGAATCCACCCTACACCTGCTCAGCTGCCACTCCCCCCTTTGCCTGACTTGGTTTTGGGGGACACTGGTAGACCCTCATCGCCCTCGCTGTCAGAGCTGCAGCCGCTGACGTCCGTGATCTCCAGCTCAGAGTCACTGTCCTCCTTCCCAGCCAGTGTGGCCTCTGGACCTCCAGCCCCCGGCAGTGCCAGGCGAGGGGCCACTGCCAGCCCTGAGGGGCGCTCGGGGCCCAGGCCCTCCCCTGTTGCAGCAAGCAGGGGTGCAGCCATGGGCCCTCCCCCTGTTCCTGCAGCGGGCAAGTGGCCCAGGGAACCCAAAGGGCTGGGGTAGAAGTGAGGTGGGTAGAGAGAGGGGGGCAGCTTGGGGAAGGGGCCTGTGAGGTATGGGTTAAAGTTCCAGGGGTACTCAGGGAAGGCGCGGCCATAAGGACCCAGCAGGCTGGGTGGCTTGGAGTAGCCGGTGGCACCTGGAGGGGCATAGGGAACAGGTCAGGCTGGCCCACTTGCCATTTGGGAGCCTGCTTGCATGGTGTGTGTACCTCCTCCGTGGTCTTCCTACCCTTCCCAGTGTGATTCCACTAAGGGTCTCCCACCTTCCACCTCTCCCCCTATTCCTTTAGCCTGCCTCCCCCCAAAACCCTTCCTGCCAAGTAGCCAACTCCCTCCTGTTAAGTTCCTCTGCCGCAGAGCATTCTCTGCCTTGACTGGTTTTTTTCTAGAAATGTTCCCATTATGTCATCCAAGTTGGCTTCCACTTGTAATTGACCTGCCTCGGCCTCCTAAGTGCTGGGTATCGTGGAGCCCAGCCTGACACTGCACTCGCTCTGTAGTCCAGAGCAAGACTGAGCTCGGTCCTCCAGCCTCTGTGTCCCTTGTGCTAGCATCGCTGGTGTGTGCACCACACCCAGCTGCTGCAATGTTGATCGGAACCCGCTTCCTTCTAGCCATTCTGACTCCGCCCTCCCTGGCTTTTAAACGTGTACCCACACACAGACTCTGTAGACACATCTCTGCCTAGATCTCCCACCACCCCCCCACCCCCACACACACACACTATCTTGTTTCCTGGAGTCCTCTCTCTACCTGTGCAGATCCCCTTCCCCAACCCCAGGCCCTTACCAGAACCCAGGAATGGGAAGGGACTGTCCAGACGTAGTTTATCCGTCTCTGGGGTGAATAGGGGTGTCCGACCCCCCGGCTCTCCTAGGCGTGGGGTAGAGAACAGGTTCTGCAGGGTCTGGAGAGGGAGGCAGGGAGGTGGTACTGCTTAGCCCCCTCTGGAGAGGATCCTGATGTCAGGGACCTAAACACCCTTCTTCCAGCACTAAGATTCCAGTATCCAGACTCACCTCGGGGGTCAGGGGTGGAGCGTCTGGCCCAGGTGCCCCAGCAAAGGGCCCAGGGGTCAGCAAGAGTGGGGAGCCAGTGGCAGCGGCAGCCACGTCCAGCAGTGGGTAATTAACAAGTACAACTTTGCTGAAGTTGAACTTGTAGGTGAACCTCTTCCCTTTGGTCTTGTGGAGAATGCGCTTGTTGTAGTAGTAACTGTGGGAGAGAGGATGGGGTACTGGGGAGGGGCAAGCGAGGGGTGAGGGAGGGGCAAGCAGGGGTGAGGGAGGGGCAAGCGGGGTGAGGGAGGGGCAAGAGAGGGGTGAGGGAGGGGCAAGAGAGGGGTGAGGGAGTAGCTGGGCTCAGGTTCCTCTTGTCACCACCCCCACCCGGTTTCCACTCACAAATACTGAGATCCACTGGAATTCAGTCCTAGGATACAGAGGGAACGCCCCCACCTTGGGGGGTGGACCAGAAGGAACAGTGAAGGGAGAAAAGAGCAGGATGGGGGAGGGGGTCTGGCCCACAGTCCCTCCTCACCGCAGGGCCCGGCTCAGCTTGTCATAATTCATGTGGGGCTTGCACTTTCGAATGCCCCAGAGGCGAGCCACTTCATCAGGGTCCTTGATGACGAATTCCCCATAGTCTCCCTGCCAGGCGATGACACCCTGGTACTCCTCCTTCTGCAACAGCTCCAGGATAAAGTGCCACAGCTGGATCTGCCTGGAGCCAGGGGATGACTCCGGCTTGTAGGCCCAGTCTGGGAAGGCAAACCCTAAGGACAGGAGACAAGGAAGCCTTAAGGTTAGGAAATGGTTGGGGGCTCCAGGTATTCTGCAGCTTGAGATGTCTAGTCTCTGAGGAGCATCTTATGGACGTGTGAGTTACTCTTCAGACCCACTGTGCTTGAGTCTGCTCCCTAAGTTACCTGAACGGCTGGAAAGAGCCCCTAGGTTTGTGCCCTCACGTGCCTTGGTGCAGTCCCCTGCCGTTCCCCGCCCCCCAAGTTCAGCAAGGGAGGAGATTGTGGAATTGAGAGGGACCCATTTTCTGCATCCACAGCTGTCTTGGGACGTGCCTGAAGAGGGCCAGCTCTGAGCAGTGATCACCCTGTCAGGAAGCCGAAGGTGTTTCCTGTGACTTGTGATCTGCCCCTTACCTAAGGCCCCCACTGGCACACACACAGCCTGCATGCATCTGTGTATCTGCCTCCAGTCTGTCCTTTCCCATGTGCTCCCAGCTTCAAGCTGTCCAGCAGAAGGCTGTGTCTGATGCAGGCACAGCCCTGTAGGTGCCCATGGCAGATAGCACATCACGCAGACATCCACTCGCCATGTTAGTCATGGGACACAGTCACACCCAAGTGCTATACACTCCTGCTTGGGGCCACTAAAGCAAACAGATGTAGGCTGCCGACACTATATGGACTCCACAGCCCAGCACTGGACATCCGTTGCAACATGCACAATTACAGACACAGGAGCCCAACAGCCCAGCTAATATCTGGTGTGATAGAAACAATGAGACCGTGACACTGAAGTCCCCAGATAGGCAGACGGGCACGTGCTCGGTAACAGTGACAACCAAACAACCTCCCAGGTCTACACTCGGGCATGTGTATGTCGGCAATTGCATGGTCCAATTGGCATTACTTCACCCTGGGAGGAGCTTCCTGGTTACCACCATCCGTACGTACTTAGAGGCCAGGAGCGGAGATCCTACCTACCCCTGCTCTTTCCGGTCTGGAAGGCTCTGGATCCCAGTGCCCACACCACCTCCTATGTCATCCTCTGTCTCCTACCTGCTCAGAGATTGGCATGACCCAGACGTAAACATATGCTTAAATCTGGTCTCTAGCAAGCTGAGAGCTGTACAAGAGACAGGGGAGGCTAGGGAAGCCATCAAAGACTGGGATGTAGGAGGGACTGTACTGAGATGGGAGACCTCAATCCCTGTATCCAGTTGCTGTGTAGCCAGGGGATAGTTCCTTGACCTCTCTGGATTGAGGTCCTAGAAGCAGGAGGAAGGGAGGGGCAGAATCTCACCCAGGCTGCCCTCTGGTATAAACAGGTGCAGGTGAGGCCCTAACTGCCAAAGGACAGGCAGTCGTCGCCACTCCCCTTGGAAGGGGAGTTTTAATCTCTGAGGCACCTCAGCTCAGATGCCGTGAGCAGTCAGTCTAAATGGACCCTGGCCTACCCATGGCACACTCCCCTGGAAAAGCCACTGTGTCACAAACATGTTTGCACAACCAAGAGACCAGAAGGGATCCGCTGGAGAGGGGACTGCTACGGCAGGCAGAAGAGACAACCCCAAAACCTAGCAATGGGAGAGATACAGAGACACAGTCTGGAAACCAAGCCTAGATCCTGATATACAGGCCTAGGGCCATCTACACACACCCTGCAAAATATACCTCAGATAGCCAAATCCAGAAACAGGCAAATCCTCTTTACCCCACCAAAGCAGGAACATAGCACACAAGCTGATAGACACTGAAAGCATACATGCACAAGCCTGAAACGCAGTCTGGGATCATTCCTGTGGCCTCTGTGGTCCAGTCTGTGTATGAGCAGGCACGCATTCACACAAAGATGCCCCCCCACCGCAGACACTTGCTATCTGTGACCCCTTCATGAACACTCAAGTGTCATGCATGCCTACACTCCACAATGAAACTCAGAGCAGACAGACAGATGGACAGGCAGACAGACAGACGGTCCCTCTTATTAGTGACCCATTCATGCCCAAGCAGGTCCTCTCCCCCTGGCTTAAGCACCACGTGACTCTCCTTTCTTCTCTTTAGGCTGTGTCCTCTCCTTATGCCTAGCCTAGAACTCTGGGCTCTGCACCCAAAGACCCGGGTACCGAGGTAGGTGCAGCCTCGATGGACGTGGTGGAGAAATACTACATCTCGGCCCCCTTCAGTCCCTCATCCCTCCTGACACCTCATTCATCCTCCAAAAGACCCTCGACCTTTGTGTCCCAGGAAGCAGGTGTCAGGGAGAGCAGACCGTGAAGAAGTTTCTGATCAAGTTTCTCATGAAAGGGTTTGTAGCCAGGGAACTGCTGGAGACCGAGATAGACAGATTCACAGGTGTGTGAGAGAGATGGGAAGAGGAAAGATAAGGAACAGGGCACAGCCCCTGGGAAGGGCTGTGAGGAGGGACAGGACAGTTACCAGGGGTCCAGAGAGCCGGCAGGGCAGGCGGGGCGAAGAGAAGGTCCGAGACACAGCTACAGTCCATGGTAGAGCGAGCCCTGCAGAAGCCAGGACAGAGACAGGACAGCGGGAGAGAACTGGGTCAGCCAGTGGGGTTCTGCGGGGCTCCTCCCCTCCCAGGACCTCAACCTGATGCCAGCCCACCCAATTGCCTTCAGTCCTCAACCCCTCCTGGTCCACTCTCTCCCCTCCCGCAGTCCGGGTGTTCCTAACTGAAGCCGCTGTCCTTCCCTCCTGCTCTGCACCCTCCTCTATGTGGTCTTCTTCACCAAAGTCTGACAATTCGCTACCAACAGACCCTCAACACCCTTCACCCGCCCGATGCCCTCCACACGATCTCTGGCTATCCTGCCTCCCGCCTGACCTCTGGGGGAGTAAGGGATTGGTCCCTGGGTCTTTGGGTCTTCCTGCCTCTCTCTGCGTGTGGCTCTCTCTATCCAGCTACTTCAGATTTAACACGCTTGAAAACACAAATTCACCCCCACCTGGCTGACCCCCGGCAGCTCCCTCTGTGCCTCACACTGCAGCAGTGGCCAGCTTAAAGCTGGCAGAGTTGGGTACCTGCTAGCTAGGCTGGAGAAAGAGCAGGCCCAGCCCTCGCCTTTCCTCCCTAGTAGACACCCACCCCCAATCCCCAGTCTGCTCTCTGAACCCCAGACCACCGCTCCCCACCCCACTTCTCTCTCAAACCTGCCGCTCACCAAGGGTTCTCTATCTCTTCGCCTTAGACTGACCTCCCCCCCCTCGCAGGCACCCCTTCTAGGAGCTGCCCCCCCCCCAACACAGTCCTTTCCCTTCCCCTTAAGGTAGAGCCACCCAAGCCTGCTACCCAAAGAAACCCATGGACCCCTGCCTCAAACCTGCTGCTCAATCAAGATTCTCCATTCCTCCTAAGATCAGCCGGCTTCTCCTCTCAGAAACTCCCTCCCCACAGACAGTCTCCCCCCTCAAACACCTGTCCACTCAGATTGGCGTTACCCCTCAGATATCCTTCCCCTCAGACTAGCCTCTCGCTCAGATACCTTTCCCCTCAGAGTGGCATCCCCACTTAGAGACCCCTTCCTTGACTAGTCTCTGTCCTCTGACACTGCTTCCTGCTTCCCGTGACATCCACCTCCCCCTTAGGGACATTCTTTCCCCTTGGATCTGCCTCCTCCCTCCCTGTGCCGACTCCCTCAAATCCCCACTCCCTCAGAGAACCTGCTTTGTAGACACCTCACCCTTTTCCTGGCACCTTTGCCCTCTGTGAGCCCAGCCCCTCAGACACCGTCATCTACAGCCTCCTGCCCGTTCACACTCACTGCGGCTACCCTTAGACAAGACATCCTTTAGCCGTCCTGCCTGCACTCAGGGATTCCCACACACCACGCACAGCACCCTTTCCCTCAGATACCCCACCCATTAGATCTTCTACAGACACTCCACACACCTCTCCCATACCATACAGCCATCCACCCCTCCTCACTCCTGGATAGGTCTGTCCTCTCTCTGTATGTAGCTCCCCACTGCTCCCTCAAGACTTCCTCGGCCCCCTGGAGTCACCCCTGCCAAGGGCCACCCCTCCCATACTCCATCTCTCTGGGAACCCTTCCCTATCTCTCTTCCCCGCTCATTTCCATCTCTCCCTGCACTCGGCCTCTCTTCTCACCACCTCTCCTCTTTCCTCCACCTAGAACGGTCCCCCCATCTCTCCTCAACTCTCTCCTCCCAGCCCTCAGTCCCGTCTCCGTCTCCCATTTCTCTGTCTCTGCCCACCTGCTTCCCACAGCTGTCTCCCAGTCCCTACCCCTATTTCCTTCTCCATCCCTCACTGATCCACCTCCCCGCGTCTCTCTGTTTTCCCTATCTCTGTCTCTCCATCTCTCTCCCTCGTCTGCCTACCTCTCCCTCCTCCTCCCGGCCCCCTTCCTCTCAGCCCCGCCCATCCCGTCTCTCTACCGAGCGTCTCCATCACCACCTCACCATCTCTTTACCCACACTCACCCCCGTCTAACTCCCCCCTCCTGCTCTCTCTGCCTCTCTGGGTCCCCCTCCTCCCTCCCCCACCCCCCATTGGCCCCTCTCATTTCCGTGTTGGTTTTGATTTCTCTTCCCAACGCTTTCAACTCCCCGCCGCCTCCTCCGGACACGTTATAACGAGGAGCCGTGGGATCGGCGCTCCGGGCCCTGCTCCCACGCTCCCCCCCGTCGTCTCTCACACACATCTCTGCCTTCTTGTCTCTGCTGCCACTTTTTTCCATCTCTCCCGTGTCTGGTCTCTGTCCTATGTTTATCACCCCCCACCCCCACCCCCGGGCCCGAGGACCTGGTTTCTGGCCCCTCCAGCTGGGCCAGTCTCCACCTAGCCCAGCATTTCTTCTATGTCTGGTTGCTAGCATCTCCAGGTCTCATCTCTCGATCTCTGTGTCCCTGGGCCTTTAGTCACCACATGGTTCCTTTCTCCATTTCTGGGTCTCCACATCTCTGCCTCCCTGTCTCTGTCTTGTAAAGTCTCTATCTCTGTCTCTAGGTCTCTCTTTCAGTCCCAGTGTCCCTCTCTTGGGACTCCTTTGATCTCGCCCGTGCCCCTGGCACCCCCCTGGCCCCATTGATTGCTGATCGACCCATGGAGGAAGTAGGGCCTTGGGCCTGGGGCTATAGGGCCTGGCAGCAGCATTGGCAGAGCCACCGGACAGATGGACAGACAGCCCCAGCCCCAGTGACTGAGGAGGGGGAGCAGCCGCATCACAAGCCCCTCCCCGCCGGCCGGCACGTTGCGGATGGGGACTCCGGGCAAGCTTTAATTTTTAATTTTATTTTGCTTCCTTCACCCCCCCCCCTCACCCCCATCTCTAGCGCCCGAAGCCATGGCACCGAATGTGTGCGCGAGTGAGTGAGGCAGCCGTTTGGAGAGGGGCTGGGCGGGCAGAGGCTGCCTCCCTCTGCTCTTTGCCAAGCACAATTACACAGACCCACACCTCCTGCAAGCACACTGCCCACATCACACAGGCCAGCAAAGTCACATACACCGCCGCATTCCCTACACACCATCACACACACTCAAAACACACACAGGCCTAGACCCACAGAACCATGCTCATCCCCACAGTCACACACAACCCACGCAGCACAGCCCACACATCAATGAAGTCACAGGCAGCAACACTGTCACGTCCGACAGTACAGGCCCACGATCTGCCTGGACTGATTGCATAGTAACACAGGCACAGGGCCACACACCAGTGCTCACAAATACACAAGCACAGACCTCCAATCACACAGGCACACAATCACACAGAGAGACAATGCCGTACAGAAACAGAGACACACACACACACACCACAAGACACACAGCAGCACAGCCAAGTCAGCAGCAGGCACACAGTCACCCAGACAGACACCAGAGACTTTCCATCAATCACACACATTGGATCACAGGCAGACACACAAACACCCCAAACACAAGCTGCCACAGCCAGATGGCACACATGAGGCCACACTCATCACAGACATAGAGCCACAGTCACAATTCTCAATATGATCAGCACAGTGGAGGAACCCCACAGCAGTCCCCGCCCCCAGAAAGAGGAGTCATTCTCACTTAGACATAAGGGCTAAGTTCGGCTGGGTCGGGGTGCCTGCTTTGAGGTAACTGGCACCCCAGCAACCTCAATGTCCCTCAATGTCCCTACCACCATGGGTTTGTCCATCCATCATCTGCGGATCTCTTTAGCCTCTCTCTCTCTCTCTCTCTCTGTGTGTGTGTGTGTGTGTTTTCAAAACATGTGCTTGCCTCATAGTCTCTTCAGTCCTCTTCATTATCTGTGTCTGTCTGTCTGTCTGTCTGTCACCGGGGGTCTTTATATGGCTCATCTCTGTGTGTCTCCCTCTAGATGCTCCAAGTATCTCTCATCCTGTCTCTCGACGCCTCCTCCTGTCCCCCTTGGCCTCTGGGCCTCTCTGCTTCTGTCTCTTCACCCCATCACCCCAGCCCCCTGGGCTGGGGTTTAACCAGTTGTTTTGATTTCTCTAAGCTGTGCTGGCCGCCTCGGGAGCCGCCTCAGGCCTCACACCGCCCCCAGCCCCTTCATCCCTCACCCAGGCCCCCCCCCCCCCCCCCCCCCCCTTAACACAATCTGCACAAGTGGAATGAAAATTGATTTTTTTTTTAAATTTCATATCTTCTCCGGGGCTCTGTCTAAAGAGGAGAGAGACTCGGCCCAAGACCCCTCTCCCACCACTGCCCCTGCATACACCACACACACAGACACAGACACACACACACACACTGCTTCCACACACACACACACACACACCACACACACACACACACACACACTGCTTCCACACACACACAGACACACAGACACACACACTGCTTCCACACACACCACACACACACACACAGACACATACACACACACACTGCTTCCACACACACAGACACACACACACACAGACACACACACACTGCTCACACACACATACACACTGCTCCCATGCACACCACACACACAGACACACACACAGACACACACACTGCTCACACACACCACACACACACACACACACTGCTCCCACATATACCACACACATGTATGCACACACACACACTGCTCACACACACACACACACTGCTCCCACACACACACATACACACATGCATGCACATACACACACACACCCTGGAGCCTGCATGTCCCCTTCCTCACGCCACATGCCAATGTGGGCACATCTGTGCATACAGCAGAGATGATGCTTGGCCGTGGGCACACAGGCCATCCACACTCCGGGACCACGGGCATCCTGCCAGCCAGTAAGAGCCCCTATGGCTGTCCTGGCAAAGGAGAGGTCTCTTGGGAGCTGTCATACCAATACCTGTCACCTTACCTCAAATGTCACCCAGTTCTCATCCTGGTCACATCTCTGGGCCCCTAGGAGGGGAGACTTCGTGCCAACGCTTCATACTTCACATCCTATGTACCACACACACCACATACATACTACACACATGACACAACACACACACACACTAGACATACTATA